ATCTTTATATTCTCATCTTTTTTACCAACTCTGCTGCTAAATCAGCAGAGTCAAAATCAAATACATCTTGACCTTCATTATTACTGATTACTGATTCATTTTCATCAATCTCTTCATAGTTATATAATTCCTCTTCACTATCAATATTAGATTCATCAACTTGAAATGTCTCATTATTTAAATGTATTATACTTCAATATCTAGGTGATTAATAATTTCTAGATCTTGATTCATTTCTATTCTTACTTCAAAATTATCAAGATATCTTCTTCATTATCATCATTATCCAAAAAAGTTGCTGATGCTACTAGCTCCTTTAAATAATCAGATAGTAAACTTTTTCTATATTTGAAATATAAAAAGATCTAATTTGTGCTATAGCTTGAATTTGACAAAGAGAAAGTCTTTGCTGTCATTTTCCATATAACCAACCCAATACTAAGAATATTCTTTCACAATCAGCTAAATAGGTGTAACTGAAAAAATCTTAATTGCAAGTTGTCCAATTGATTTGAACCTAGTAGAATTCATCATCCACTATAATAAAAAGGTATCATTTTTAAAACAGTAGGGTAAATCAAATCTATTTTTTTTTCTCTAAATTTTTACATATAAGCTACTAAATTTGCACATTCAAGTTAATTATGCCCTTCTTGTTTCTATTTACTAATTGCAGTTTTGGCAATTATTTGAAATTGCTGCTTACATAATTTAATACCTAGTAAAAATATATAATATAAGTAATATGAATTTATTAATTTAATAAAAACTTAATAATATAATTTACTGTAATAACTCGGATGAAGAAAATATAATAGTAAATAATTATCTATATTAAAATTCCTCTATCTTTTATTAAAAGCCTAAATGCAAAAATTTTTAAATTCATTAATTCAAAAATTTGGAACTTTTTTGATTGCACTAGCTAGACAAACAAATTGCACAAAGCAATCAGCCAAGATTGTTAATTGAGTCTTCAAAATTGTAATGCTATTCGAATAGGAGCTAAAATCTTAATTAAAATTTTAAGATCAGTAAAAAAAAGATCAGTTTAAAATTCGCTTCACAATATAATTTGTAATTAAATTAGGATTTTTATTTAAAATCTATTAAAATAGATTAATTAATTAGTAGTTTAAAATTTATATAATTTATAAATCACAGGTCGAAATTAAAAATATCATCGACTATCAATATAATATTAATAGTTGATGATATTTTTAATTTCGATCTGTGAATATAATTTACTTAACTTACTTTAATAAAAGCACATTGAAATTGAACAACAGATAAAGTATATTCATATGCTGAAGTCCACCTAGTATTCACAAATCTTTTTAAACTATCTCCAGAAATTTGTAATTCACAAACTGCTTGCTGTAAATATGTATTTAACTAATACGACTTTTTAAAATATTTGATAATTTGGTTGCATTTATTTATAAAATATAAACTAAATATGTGTTCTAAAATAAATAAAAAATTTTTTAATAAAATTTAATCTATATTTATTTGTAATTATTTAAAATACTTATTGAGAATATCCTTAAATAAAAAATTAATATAATAAGCAACACAATATAAACTTAAAATTTTTAGATATTTGTCTTGAATTTTATATCGAGCAAGCTTCATATTACTAGCATTATCAGTCACAACTAGTGTTCCTATAAACTGAACTGAACTAAACTTTTGGCTAAATTCAAGTTCAGTTCAAAATTGAACTGAACTTGAACTTGAACTTTTTTTAAAAAAAGTTTAGTTCAGATTTAATATTG